CCCCCCATAAAAAGTTTCTACGAATTTTATCTAAAGAGAGAATCAAACCTTTTGGTAGAAAATGCATGGACACGAGGAGGAACAGTGGGAGGTTAGATAGCACGAAGTTGAGGAGAGTGATCCTTCCACCTAAAGAGAGGAATTGACCCTTCCACAAGCTCAATTTCTTCTTAAATGTCTCAATCAATGGTTTCCAAACAACAATGCTTCTACAATTGCCTCCTATTAGTACTCCAAGGTACTTACAAGGGAAGACTCCTTGTTTACAGTTCAAAATATGGGATGCCTTTGACATCCAATCACCTGAAACCTTTATGCTTAATAGTTAGCTTATTCCAAAGTTGATCTTCAATATAGAAACCAACTCAAAAGTCCTCATGATACTTTTTGCTACCCATATATTCTCTTCCATAGCCTTACCAAACAATATCGAATTATTTGTGAACTGTAGATGAGACACTTTCATCCCTCTATTACCAACTTCGATCCCTTCGAAAAGTCCCTGATTAACTGTTGAAGATGAAATGCCATTAAAGCCTTCGGCTACCAAAAGGAATAAATAGGGTGAGAGAGGATCTCTCTACCTGAAGCCTTTGTTAATTTTAACTTGTTTGGTAGGACTGCCATTAAGTATAATAGATACCTTTGTTGTCTTCAGGCATTCATTAATCCACTTTCTCCATTTTGGTTTGAAGTGCATCCTCATCATCATATAGTCCAAAAACTCCCAACATATTTTATCATATGCCTTCTCGAAGTCCACTTTAAACACAAAACTTTCTTTCTTGTTTTTCTTCACCTTCTCAATTATTTCATTGGCAATTACAATGCTATCAACCATCTGCCTTCCCCCAACAAATGCCAGTTGATTTTCTCCAATAATACCACCCATTACTGAGCTTAGCCTATTAGCAAGAAGCTTGGCAATCACCTTATACATTACTCCAATTAAAGATATGGGTCTGAACTCCTCAATTTTTTGGGGATTGACAACTTTAGGTATCAACACAATGAAAGAGCTATTTATCCTTTTTACCAATTTCTCGTGTTTGTGAAAGTCTTCAACAAAACCCATCATATCCTCTTTAATCACCTCTCACATTTCTCTGATGAATTTGAAATTAAACCCATCTGGTCCTGATGCTTTAGTATAGTCGCAGCTCCACACTACTCTTTTCACTTCTTCTTCGTTGAATGGTGTAAGCAACATTGAGTTATCTTCTGTTGAGATCTTTTTGAATTCTATCCCATCAAGGTGAGGACGTTGCCACCTATCTTCTGCAAACAGCTTCTCAAAACAGGGGCGGAGGCAGAAATTTTTTTTGGGGGGGGCAAAATACTAAAATTTTCAAAGCTCAGGGGAGGCTAGATAATTTTTCATATACTAAGTTGCAAGATTTTCAAATTTCAGGGGGGGCGAGCGCCCCCCCCCTTGCACCCCTCTGGCTCCGCCATTGTCTCAAAATGCCTTGCCACACCTTCCTTTATCTCATTAGCCTCCTCTAAGTACTTGTCTCCCACCTAAATGGTAACATTTCATTTTGTCTCCTTCCTTTTGACACATCTATGAAAAAATTTCGTGTTAGCATCCCCATCTTTGATCCACACCCTTCTTGCTTTTTGGTGGCACATGCTCTCCTTTGCTTTTTGATGTTTCCACAATTCTAAAAAGCTATTCCTTCTTAATTCCACATCTTCAGCAGACAAAGGGGTTGTTTCCCTTTTTAGATCAATGGCAGCAATGGAGTCCATACACCTTTGTATCTAGAATCTACCTCCGAAACCATGTTCTTGCTCTAGGTTTTCAAAGCTTTCTTTGTTTCCTTAAGTTTTTCTTTCAAGCCATATCCATGCCACCCTGTGACCTTGGTTGCCCTCCACGCCTCCCCACTAGGTTTTTCAACTCAGGTGAGAGATCTACACATCAAAAAATCGAAATGGCTTAGGGCCCTAATCAATTACATGAGTTTTCAACAAGACTGGACAATGAATAGACTTTGTTCTTTTCAATCCCCATTGTTTAACATCCCCCCAATCGAGGCACCATTCTTCAGAAAGAAAGAATTGATCCAACCTGCTCATAACTGCACCATTTAGCTGATACCATGTGAATTTTCTACTTATTAATGGTAGATCAATTAGACCATACTCTCAAATGAATTCATCAAACTCCACCATTTCCCTCCTACTATTTTTGCCTCCATTCCATTCCTACTCGTTTCTTATGGCGTTGAAGTCACCCATTAAACACTAGTTGCCTCCAATTTCCATCACCAGATTTTTAAGGTTGTTCCACAAAGCCCTTTTACTAGGCAAGTCACATGGAGAGTAAATATTCACAATGGGAACAAGATTGCAAATACTCCCCAAAATCTAAAAACTCCCACAAAATTTTCACCTTCAATGATTTTTTCCTTCCTCAACACATCACAATTCCAAATACAAATTAACCACTAGATGCCCCTTTAGATGGTTTCGCAACCCAATCAAAGTTCTCTGATCCCCAAAGCTTCCTACAAAATTGATGATCCATCATCTCTACCTTCGATTCTTGAATAGACAACAAATCAACTTTTTCTTTTACAACTAACTTTTTCACTCCACTCTTTTTGCGCTCCCCCCCTAAGCCTCTTATATTTACTTACAAGAGAATCATTATAAATTAATATAGCCATTCCCATCTATAGCATTTGCACTAACCTTTGATTTTCCAACCATCTCCTTCTCTCTGTCCTCCATGTCCTTTAGCCGTCGGATCACTTGTGCTTCGTTCCCATAGTTGCCAACTCCTACCTTCTTTGTTGTCACGCCTTAGAACTAGAGTGAAATAGACGCCGAACACCTATGAGAGGATCCCACAAATGCACTATGCTCAAACTTGTTTAATTCATAACTAGCAATCTATAACTAGGATCAATATCTTAAAATAAAATTTGACTTTCAAGAACCAAAGCTTTGCTAGGTCAAGAGTATACAAAAACTTACACAAGTCCATCAGTATAGCCATTATTATCTCTAAGAGGAAATCTAGTCTACAAAAGAATGCACTATGGTCCAAAGGCTATATCAATTTTTTTTTTTTGTTTAGCGGCCTAACTCCAAAAGACAAGAAGGTAGCTTTCTAGCTCGTCACTCCCTTTGCTTTCCTCCATCTCAGGTCTCACTACCTGAAATGGTGGACAAGGAAAAATCATGAGATATCTCAGTAAGTAAACGATGAGTAATCTTTACTTAAAGTTAAGGCATACCAACAATGTAATCAAGTATCAAGATAAAATTGGTACGAGTATGGGAATGAAATAGATGTCTCCTCTACAAGTCATGACCAGTGTTTATAAACCTCCCACTAGTGGGCACAAAAATTGCTAGTGTATAATTCCACAAACAGGATAACAAGTATAACATGAACCGGTTCCACAATTAACATGTTGACATGTGCTATCGTTTATAAACCTCCCACTAGCAAGCATAGTAAAACATGACCATATCGATTTGACTCCTCAATTGAACAAACAACATAATTGAATTTTGTTGTCATAAACCGAAGGATTTTCTCAACTATAGCAACATCCTCTAGATTTTCACCATGGATCCTCATCTTGTTTGCAATAGCCATCATCCTTGCAAAATAATCATCTACAGTTCACCAATCTGCATTTATAGAACTTCGAATTCTGCCCGCAAAGCCTGGCGCTGTTGCCGCCTTGCTCTTTCATTCCCTTAGTACTTCTTCTTCATGGAATCCCAAATATTCTTGGAAGTAGACTTGTTAAGAATTGTTTCCAAGATAGCCCAATCTATGGCTTGGAACAAATAGTTCTTAGCCTTGAGATCCTTCAATTTTTCCTTCTCAATTTCTGCCCTGTGTGCATCATTTGCACCTGTCGTTGGTTCTGGAACTCCAGCTTCAACAATGGTCCAATACTCTATGGACCAGAGAAAATTCTCCATCAACATACTTCAATGGTCGTAATGATGACCATCAAAATGAGGGATTGAGGGTTGGACATAATTTTTGGAAGCCATGGAATTTTTTGGGAATAGGCTCTGATACCAAATGTTAAAAAATCAAGGATTCTCGAAAATAAGAAGATGGAATGAAAAATTGAATCTCTCATTAAACAGAAAATAATCCAGCCTTTAAATAGGTTTTACAAGATAATATTATCTAAAAAGATAACTAATCAATCTTATCTAATCAATCTTATCTAATCAAAATGAGGGATTGAGGGCTGGACATAATTTTCGGAAGCCATGGAATTTTTTGAGAATAGGCTCTGATACCAAATGTTAAAAAATCAAGGATTCCCGAAAATAAGAAGATGGAATGAAAAATTGAATCTCTCATTAAACATAAAATAATCCAGCCTTTAAATAGGCTTTACAAGATAATATTATCTAAAAAGATAACTAATTAATCTTATCTAATCTAATTTAAATGATAACAACCTAAAACAAATAAATAACTTAAACTTCCTAAAATATAGAGATAATGGCTAAATAATAGAATCTAATTTCCAACAGCGACAAGGTCCGGGCACGACGGGGCTCTCACCCTCTCCGACGCCCCCTTCCAGGGGACTTGGGCTTGGTCTGCCGCTGAGGACACTTCTCTAGACTACAATTCGGATGCCGGGGGCGACTGATTCTCAAGCTGGGCTATTCCCGGTTCGCTCGCCGTTACTAGGGGAATCCTAGTAAGTTTCTTTTCCTTCGCTTATTGATATGCTTAAACTTAGCGGGTAGTCCTGCCTTAACTAGGGTCGCGTTGCGAGGCCATCCGCGCGGATGGTGTTTCGGGGGTCCGAACGAGCTCCCCACAGGACGCTGGGTGCGCAGGGGCACAGGACACGAACGCGAGTGGCCACCGCTTTGCCCTTGCGCTCGGCGCCAAGGACTCACTTTTGGGCCAACCGCGACCGGGGAGTGCGCATGGGAGGCCAGCATCTGACCCTTCCACCTCGCCGCGTGCACGGGGGGTGGGGGCGCGACATTGCGTGACACCTAGGCAGGAGTGCCCTCGGCGTTTGATGGCTTGAGGCGCAACTTACATTCAAAGACTCGATGGTTCACGAGATTCTGCAATTCACACCAAGTATCGCATTTCGCTACGTTCTTCATCGATGCGAGAGCCGAGATATCCGTTGCCAAGAGTCGTTTTCGTAAGTGTAGAGGGAGGCGCGCGGCCCGCATGCGCGGGCGCCGGCCTCCACGTTGGTTTTCCTTGGTGTGGTCCACACCGAGGTTCATTAGCGGGGGCGCGGGTGGGCGGTCTCGATTCACGCGCGCTCACGAGCACCCCGGGGTGCAGAAGGGAAGGCACCGGGCTCTTGCCCGACGCCTTTCCCCCCCGCACCCCGCCTTCTTTGAAACGGGTTCGCGGGTCGTTCTGCTGGGCAGGCATCGACAATGATCCTTCCGCAAGTTCACCTACGGAAACCTTGTTACAACTTCTCCTTCCTCTAAATGATAAGGTTCAATGGACTTCTCGCGACGTCGCGGGCGGTGAACCGCCCCCGTCACCGCCATCCGAACACTTCACCAGACCATTCAATCGATAGGAGCGACGGGCGGTGTGTACAAAGGGTAGGGACGTAGTCGACACGAGCTGATGACTCGCGCTTACTAGGAATTCCTCATTGAAAACCAACAATTGCAATGATCTATCCCCATCACGATGCAATTTCAAAGATTACCCAGGCCTGTCGGCCAAGGCTATAGACTCGTTGAATACATTAGTGTAGCGCGCGTGCGGCCCAGAACATCTAAGGGCATCACAGACCTATTATTGCCCCAAACTTCCTTGGCCTAAGCGGCCATAGTCCCTCTAAGAAGCTAGCCACGGAGATTGAACTCCGCGTAGCTATAGCAGGCTGAGGTCTCGTTCATTAACGGAATTAACCAGACAAATCGCTCCACCAACTAAGAACGGCCATGCACCACCACCCATAGAATCAAGAAAGAGCTCTCAGTCTGTCAATCCTTACTATGTCTGGACCTAGTAAGTTTCCCCGTGTTGAGTCAAATTAAGCCGCAAGCTCCACTCTTGGTGGTGCCCTTCCGTCAATTCCTTTAAGTTTCAGCTTTGTGACCATACTCCTCCCGAAACCCAAAGACTTTGATTTCTCACAAGGTGCCGGCGGAGTCCTAAAAGCAACATCCGCCGATCCCTGGTCGGCATCGTTTATGGTTGAGACTAGGACGGTATCTGATCGTCTTCGAGCCCCCAACTTTCGTTCTTGATTAATGAAAATATCCTTGGCAAATGCTTTCATAGTTGTTTGTCTTTCATAAATCCAAGAATTTCACCTCTGACTATGAAATACGAATGCCCTCGACTGTCCTTGTTAATCATTACTCCGATCCCGAAGGCCAACACAATAGGACCGGAATCCTATGATGTTATCCCATGCTAATGTATCCAGAGCGTAGTGTTACGGACTGCGAGCTCGGACGCCCAAGAGAAGGGTCCCAATGCCAGGGTCGCGGTGCAACGTCTCAGGCTCGACGGCCTGGCGCGCTCGCGCCGAGCGTCTAGATGGCACGGCCGCAAGTGGAAACGGTATCGACACCCAGACGCGAAGTAGAATCGCGGGGAAGTCTCCAGAAGCAGCCTGTGAGAAGGGATAAGGACCAAAACAGTAGTCTGGATAAGGACCAGAACAGTGGTCTAAATAAGGACATGAATAGTGGTCCGAACTAGGCTTTCTGGACCTGGGCTGCATGTAGAAAATTCTAGAGCCTTGTACATAATTCTAGAGTAAGGAGAATTCTAGAATTAGGACAAGTGGGAGGATTTGAGAGTGTTCTAGAAAGTGTAAAATATGAGGACTCTTGGGGAATGCTCTAGAACCTCTGCCTGGGGTGGTTGGCCTCATCTATAAATAGTAGGGGCCTCAGAAGGCAGAGGGTACTCAGCCAAGCATATACCCAAGCTCTTGTAAATTTTCCTTGCATCTAATAAACTCTCATTTTCTCCCAACTTCCTACCTCTGCATTTTAAGCTTCACAAGCCTCTTAGTCCCATAGGTGGACTGCACCCAGCACCAGGGGAAGGCTGACTTGGTTTGTTTAAGGGGTGAAATCCAAGCTAAGTGCCGCACGGTGACTAGCTAAAGTCTCGTCCCGTGACAAGTGGTATCAGAGCCAGGTTTGACAGCCTAGTTACGTGGAGGAGGATTGTGACGATGGCAAGCCAGGGGGCGGAAGCTAGCCAAGTTGGAGAGGTTCCAGAGGATAGGGGTTGTCAGAAGACCCGTGGGGACGCTCGGAAGAAAAGAAGGTCCAAGGCATTGTCACCAACATCGTAGGATGCATTTACAGCCTATGAGGGGAGGTTGGTCAAGGTCGAGCTAGCCATGGGTGATGTCCATGAGCAGCTAGACACTCTTGATTCTCGGATGGAGGAGCAGGAGGACAGGGGCAGCAGTGTCGAAGAGCTTGAAGGCAAGCTCCAAGGTACCCTTAATTCGGTTGTTGCTGACATGCATAAGGCCATGGAGGAGTTTCGCAGGTCCATTGCAGCAAAGGTGAGCGCACTGAAGGTGGAGCTCAGTGAGGTCAAGGGGGACCTAGTCTTGTGCAAGGCCGCCATGGCCGCTGGTGTTGCAGCTGGCAGTGCGCCCAGTGTGGCACCCAAGCTGAAAGTGCCTGAGCCGCCCAAATATGGAGGTAAGCGCGACTTTAAAGAACTTGATAATTTCTTATGGATGGTTGAAAGCTATTTAGATGCTATGAATATTTCTGATGATTCTACGAAAAGTCGTATGGCAACCATGTATTTTGAGCATGATGCCACCTTGTGGTGGAGATGCCGACATGCTGAGATGCAACGAGGCTTATGCAACATCAACACTTGGGAGGTGTTCAAGGGGGAGTTCCGTAAGCAATTCTACCCCAAGAATGCTAAAGAGGCGGCCATGAAGAAGCTTCGTGTGCTTAAACATACGGGGTTGATCAAGGACTACATCAGGGAGTACAACTCCTTAATGCTTGAGATCCCTAATATGGTTGCGAAGAATCGGCTCCTCTACTTCATGGATGGACTGCAGCGGTGGGCTGAGCAAGAGCTGAAGTGCCGTGGTGTTCAAGACCTTACGTCAGCCATAGCGGTTGTCGAATCACTTATCGAGTTCAGCAAGGAACCTCCTAAGAGAGGCAAGGACAAGAAGGGTAGCTCGAGCAAAAGTGGTGGAGACAAATCGCACAAGGCCTTCAAGCCTTTCAAGGGCCCAGAAAAGGTAGGTGATGGCGGCAAGATGCCACCCAAGGTGAGGCGGGATTGCTACCTATGCGGCGGTCCGCACTGTGCAAGGGAGTGCCCACAGCGGAACAAGCTTAACGCCATCATCTCAGCGATTGGGGAGCCATCCCAAGTGGGGGAGACGCAGTTGGGAGCAATGCAAGTTCTCAACGCCATACGGGTTAAGGTGCAGAGTGGGGGTGACGCTAAGGTTCGTGCTGTGGTTGAACAGAAGGGTGTCGGCAAAACCCTCAAATATGTTACTGTCAAGATCAAAGGGGTAAGCGTCCGTGCTCTATTGGATAGTGGCGCTAACCAAAATTTGATTGCAGTAAGTCTTGCGGAGAAGCTGGGTCTACCATACAACAAGGAACCAGGATGGGTGAAGGTGGTCGACAATCCTTCTCAGCCCATTTATGGCGTTGCACGCGAAGAGCCCGTGCAGATAGGTTCATGGTCGAGGAAGGTTGACTTGAACATCATAACCATGAGCGACTTCAAGCTGGTGTTGGGTGGTGAGTTTATCGACCAGCTGTTGCCTTTCACCTTCACCAAAGATGGCTGCATACGCTTTGAGGACGGGAACGAGAGTCACAAGGTGCCCCTAGAGCGGCTACCCGCTGGAGACCGCGTCCTCTCGGCTATACAAGTATCAAGAGGCATCAAAAGAGGTGAGGACACTTACCTAGCTGCTTTAAAGGAATATAGTACCTCATCTCTTGATGTCCCACAGGAAGTTCACGGCATTCTCCACGAGTTCGAAGATGTGATGCCCCCGGAGTTGCCAAAGAAACTTCCACCACAGAGGGAGGTCGACCATGCCATTGAACTGGATCCTGGCTCAAAGCCGCCAGCAATGGGTCTATACCGCATGGCTCCACCTGAGTTGGAGGAACTCTGGAAGCAACTCAAAGAGCTACTAGATGCGGGGTTCATCCGTCCCTCCAAAGCACCCTATGGAGCGCCAATGCTATTCCAGAAGAAGCATGATAAGACCCTCCGCATGTGCATCGACTACCGGGCGCTCAACAAGATCACAGTGAAGAACAAATACCCCATTCCTTTGATTGACGACCTGTTTGACAAGCATGGGAAGGCACGATGGTTCACCAAGCTCGACTTGAGGTCGGGGTATTGGCAAGTGAGAATAGCCGAAGGGGACAAGGCCAAGACCACTTGTGTGACGTGTTACGGTGCATACGAGTTCCTGGTGATGCCTTTCAGCCTCACAAATGCTCCAGCTACTTTCTGCACCTTGATGAACAAAGTCTTCCACCCATTCCTTAACAAATTCGTGGTGGCATACTTGGACGACATTGTTGTCTACAGGGAGACGCTGGAAGAGCATGTGCAGCATCTTCGACAAGTTCCCCAAGTGTTGCGCGAGAATGAGCTCTATGTGAAACAGGAGAAGTGCTCATTTGCGCAGCAGGAGGTGATGTTCCTAGGCCATCGGGTAGGCCATGGGAAGACATCAATGGACTCGGCCAAGGTGCATGCCATCCAGGAGTGGGAGCTCCCAGCTCAGTCCTCGAGCTGCGATCATTCCTTGGCCTAGTCAACTACTATTGTCGGTTCATCCAAGGGTATTCAACAAAGGCCACACCCTTGACAAACTTACTTAAGAAGAAGGTCTCGTGGGAGTGGACAACGAAGTGTCAACGAGCCTTTGAGGACTTGAAGCAAGCGGTGAACCAAGAACCAGTGCTCGCACTGCCCGACTATGGGAGGCCTTTTGAGATGCACACTGATGCGTCA